GTGAACCTGTAGGCTTATCTATTCGACTAAATAGAGCGACACATTGTTCAACAGTTCAGTAACTGTGTTGGATTACCTTGAAGACTGCATATGTGATGTGGTTCGAACACAGCTGCTAAAGCCATTAAGACAGAAAGCAGGATACACGAGAGTCTATAATCTTGCTCGCCAGCAGCATTGTAGCGCACATTCCCAGGCTGTTCTGTGCCGAGGGTGACTGCTGCCTTTGATATTATGAGGATTACCGCTGTGCTCAAGGCATGACTCGTGAGGAGTCAACACATCCATCCAGGAATTACCAGGCCATACCATGGCAGCCACGCATCTCGAAGTGATTGAAGTCGCGGCTGTCCCGGGACCTCCCGGTCCTACGAGATACCAACTTTGGTAATTATGACATCATCAATGGAGCTAGCCCGCGAGCTGGCTTGAAAACGAGCTGACGATCAGCTCGTTTCTAGGCGTTTCGGCTTAGCTTAGCTTCTTGCAACAAGCTGGGCGTCTAGTTGACAAGCTGAGCTAGCTGGATAAGCCGGCCCGGCTTGGCGGCAACACTACTTGGACCCACAGTTGATCAGCTTGAGGCTGCGCGGCCGGCGGATCTTAACGGGGTGGGACCGGACCGAGCCGTGGTCGTTGCACGAGGTCGCGACCAAGTTACCGAAGCTGCGGTACCTCCAGATCGATGCTCCACATGTATGTTCACTTCTTGTCCCGTTGCTTCGGTCTAATACATTGTCTGAGTCTGATGATGAATGCGTATCGTAGAGACAACAGCCGTACCTGAGCACAAATATAGTGGATTGGTCCAAGCCACGAACTGACACGAGACATGGAGCATCGGACCTAGATATGTGACCCACGCCGAGGCTCACGATTGCCTGGATGTTTACGGAAGGAGGCTCTTGGGATCGCCTCGCTTGGGCGACGGGAGGGGACGAATTGTTCGACAAGACCGGACTCGACGTTCTGAGGGTGTGGGGCGATCATGTCGAGCGGATATTGTACGACCATACGGAGAAGCCACATGTGGAGTCGCTGACACTCGCCCAGGGCAAAGAAGGGGCGGAATCGCAGCTGGTCAAGGTCGAGGCTAGGGAAGTGCGAGATGACTATTGGAGGCATGTGTAGCACATCAGTATTCCTACGTGTATGACATGCAAGCGTTCAAACCGTGACCACAACGTCGTCGCTGCGCCTTACTTTAGAGCTCGAAACTTCCAGAGTACGAGGGTTGATGGTTGTCCGCTGCAAAACTTGCGCCTGTGTGACCGGGATAGGAGTGACGCTCTGTGACTCGATCACGGGCCACGGGGGCGTAAACGTGTCCCGTCCATATTTGGTTGTTCATAACTCGAACTTGACCTCCTTCTACTCCTTTGCAGGCCTTTGCTGGCACTGTTCCTCCTCTACTCCCCCTGCACGCTCTCTGGCTAGCAGGCAGCTGCAATGCTTCTACGACTACCTCTATTCCGACTCTTTCCGCTCCTCCTCGTTGGCCTTGTGTATCACGCCAACGCCCAGCAACAACAGATCTCTGGCACTTCTCTGTATCCCGAGGAACTCATCCCTCTCATTACCCGCGCAGATGCGCTCCTTACCGCTGGTCAATTCAATGATGCCGCAAAGGCTTATTCGGAAGCCATAGGTGAGCACAAGCACTCAATCTTGTGTACTACGGGCTGGGAGATGTGGGAGTGAATGTGATCGGTCTCCGGAGTTGTGGGAGAGGTGCGCATTTCTGCAGAGATAGCTCCATCTGAAACTGGTCGCCATCATGTACAAGCCATGGCCGCTTTTCAGTACGATGGGCGCTTAGCATATGCCTTGCGGCAATACCTTACACCCACGGGCAGAAGTGCGTCGCTGGACTGAGGCGTTCTGTGTGCATGACGCTTGTCGTCCCTGGCAGCACGGGGATGGCGACTGTGGGACGCGATGGAGGAACGTGCTTCGCGCATAACGTTCAAATCTTGGATACCACTCCTACCAATCTATACTCTGGCGGCTCCCTTGCGCTTCTCTAAGCCGTCAATCCAGGGCACTTACTGACTTGTACGTACACGGAACAGAGGGTGCTCCCGAGTACCTGCTTTTCTACAAGCGTGCCACGGCATACTACTCCGCTGGTCGTTACTCTTCTGCACTCTCAGACTTCGAGCACGTCCTCACGCTCACAAACGACACCTTCGACAAGGCGAACCTGATGAAGGCGCGCATATTCACGAAGGAGGGTCGCTTCGCGGACGCGCGCGACGCGCTCCGCAAGTACACGACGAAGGTCAAGGGCGACTCTGCCTCGCAGGAGGTAATGATGGCCATCACGGAGGGCGAGCTTGCGAGTAAGAAGATCTCGCAAGCGATTCGCGCGAAGCTCTGGCAGGCGTGCGTGGAGGCTGCGACCACGGCGCTGTCCACGGCGTCGCACTCTCCGAAGCTGAGGCAGCAGAGGGCGGACTGTTCGATCGCGGCTGGGGATATCGAGGGCGCCGTTGCGGACCTTTCGTGAGTGCTGCTGCTGATATCCCGATTGACAATTGATGGCTGAACATGCCTGCAGACGACTCGCGCAACTTACGACATCGACGACCCAGATCTGGATGAAATCCGCACGACTAGGCTATTTCCTCTTCCCTTATAACAATCCCACCGACCCCCCATCACCTGCTATGTCCTCCCTGAAACAGTGTATGCACTATGACCCGGACTCACCTAAGTGTTTGAAGATGCACCGCCTCGTCAAGGCCTTCGACAAGTCCTTCAAGGCGCTCGACAAGGCCCTGCAGTCGGAGGACTGGCGGGGGATTTTGAAGCTCCTCCTCGGCTCCTCCCCCGACGGCTCGGACGGGTTCGCAGCGAAGTTCGACGAGGCGTTGAAGGAACACATAACCCGCGAGAACCTCGAGCTTCATCCGCAAATCCAGATGCCTCATCCGCTGCGCTCGTCACCAAGGCGAGCAGTGATCCTGAAGGCGCTCTGTCGGGCACACGTGAAGACGGGCCAGGCGAAGAAGGGCGAGGAGTGGTGTGGGGCGTTGTTGGATATGGAGGGGCGGGAGAATGACGGGGACGGGGCAATTGGGGTGGCGGAGGCGCTGTTCGCCAAGGAGGAGTGGGAGGAAGCCGTGAGAGTACTCGAGAGGGCATTCGAGGCGAGCGGGCGACAGGACCGCGAGGTGCGTGTTTGGCGCATAGGGTTCTCTTCTGTCACTGACGTCTTCATGATGCGCGATGGGTGTACAGATACATCAACGACTGGTGAAGGCGCAGAAGCTTCTGAAGCAGTCGAGGCAGAAGGACTACTACAAGGTCCTCGGCGTCGCTCGGGATGCAGATACGAAGGCGATCAAGAAAGCATAGTGAGTACATCGCGTACTGCAATGTGCATTTGGCTCTAATTTCAAATGTTATGTTACTCTACCAGTCGCAAAGCGGTCTTGTCGGCTCATCCGGACAAGGGCGGGAGCGAAGCGAAAATGGCTGCCGTCAATGAGGCATACGAGGTGCTTAGCGATCCAGGTGAGCGCTCGTTGCCACTCCCCAACGCTGTTATCATTATACTCACCCTCGTCAACTTGCGCTCGCGCAGAACTCCGCCAACGATACGACAACGGTGATGATCCGAACGACCCGACGTCGAACCAGGGCGGTCATCCCTTCCAAGGCGGAGGTTTCCCCGGCGGCTTCGCGCAGTTCTTCCAGCAGGGCTTCCCTGGTGGCGGTGGTTTCCAGTTCCACTACAGCCCGCCTGGTCACCACTAGTCGTATACTGCTTGCTTTCATCTCGCTTTCACCTTCTCTTATTCTTAGTTCTGCCTTGCTCCTTGCACTCCTCCGCGCTACCCTCTTCAGCTACATGTGCTGCTGGCCATGTTTCTCGGCCTGCGTGGCTCCGACTCAACCAATGCGTCTTTGTTGTGGATGCTTCCGTGTATGGATAGTCGTATCCTATGCTCCTAGTGCCTCATTTCCACTATCAGCTTTGTCTCCACATAATACCGCATGCGGTATTATCGGCAAGCCACTTGCACCCCTATAGGCTGACCACTCATCCATTGTCCTGTCCTTGTTTCCTTGCTGTATATTATCGCACCCGTAAGTTCCTGATGGACTACTTGGTTAGCACTTGTACCTTGTTCTTCATGTGGGCGTTCGGAGCGACATCTGGAACCAAAGGTCCCTTAGTACTCACTACAGAATCGGCAAGCGAAGAACGGGCCGGGACCCCCTAATAGGCGAAACACCAGAGCTCCTGCGCCTCCGTTCTATGACACCTCTTTTTCGCTGAGCATGCCGCCAGATTGGCCCCTTAATGATCTCATGAGGAGCTTTAAAGGGATTGTTCCCAAAGCATGAAGGTATGTTGTTCCACGTCTGGCACGGGAAGCGCGTCCTTTGACCATCGGTTCCAGCGGATTGTATATATTTGGTACCATCAACTTCTATAGGTGGTCAAAGAGTCATTCATTGCCTATTGTTTGTGGCACTAAGGTGACAAGTCATCTCATCGGGTTTAGCGATCACCTAATCACATCCTCGTCAGAAAGCAACTTGCGTTCGCAACCACTGTGTACAGGTATCCCTTGCGAGAAAGACGTCCACTAAGGAAGTCACTGTCTCTTTGTCTGTGACCGGTAGTCGACTGTTCGTCAATGACGTTTTGGATGAGGACATATCGCTCTTATAAGGATGCGATAGCTGATCAGGAGCTTGCTCACCCTATTGACTTCTGTAAAAGGCTATCTCACAAACGTGTCGCAGTGAGCCGCATATACCACCTCGTCTGTCCTAGCACACATGCTGATAGCTCTCGAGAAGATGGACACGTCTCCCGAATTAAGCACAGACGTGCTGCTACACATATACTCCTTATCGAGTCTTTGCACACAGCTGAAGTTGATGAGGACATGCCATTTCCTCTACTCTGCTGGTGCAAGAGAGACACTCAAGGATCGCGGAGTGTCTCTTCACACAACCCAAGCGCTGCAATCCTTCCTTATGTTCATCCGCGCCGAACACTCTACGCGCATGCCGTTCCTGCGCCATCTATCACTAGCGATACATCCTCCGTCCGCCGAGCTCTCAAGCGCGCTGAAGGATCTCTTACTCGAACTGGCACCCCTTGGGAGAATTCAGAGTCTCAGGATCGCACCCTCGGAAGCATATATTTCCTCAGATCCCGAACTTGCCGGTGCGCTGACTGCCTTATCTAGTCTGACCCATCTTGAATTTCGTGGGGCAAAGGCCATATCCTGTGGCGTCCTCGACGGGATCAGGTCCCCTCTGGAGTCCGTGAACATCAGGTTGATAGAAAACTGGGAACGGCTCTCCCCTGACGAAGCGGATTACGATGACAACATCTCCTGCAATGCGTATGACAACGCAGTCGACGTCGTTGGGCACCTCCACCGTTTCCAGGATACTTTGAGGCAGGTGGAGCTCGTATATCCCCTCAAGTCCGCCCCCGACTGGCCTGCCCTTCCTCGTGTAGAGCTACTGATGATCAATTATTTCTACGCTCCTATCACTTTGCACTACGTCCGGGCGTTTCCGAACCTCGTTCACCTGGTCGTAGGAGACGTCATTGACTTCTGGGGCAACATGCTTCACACAACCGTTCACGAGCATCGCGAGTGCAACAGAGCGCAACAAGCGGAGTACTACCGCGCCTGGCCATCTCTCCGGACCTGCGGCGGAACACTTCACGCCTTGTACATGTTCGCCCTCCCGTTCCACATCGCGAGGTTGACGATCCAGTGCATATCGCGTTGCCTCTGCGGCGTCGAGCCCGCCTGGCTGAGCGCTGTCTTGGACGACGTGCGACCTTCCCACTTGCAGCTACACATATGGCCTGTGACCCACTTGCATTCCGTCTGGGCCGACGCATTCCGCACAGCACTAACTGGGGAGCGGGACCATCCATTGGAATCGCTTCACTTCATGCTACGTCTTTCAGCGGCTGACATTGATCTGAAGGTGAGTAGTGAGCTATTTGTTCTCTTTTACTCACTTCCAAGCGGTGTTGGTTAATCTTGTTTGCCCTTGCGATGTGGACATAGAACAAGCTCCTTGAGCTGGTACGTGGGCTCTCGTCTCTGACCCTATTTTCCATGGAGATTATCTGTGACGGGATATTGGAGATACCATACTTCGTGATGGCCGCTCAACCCGAGGACCATTGGTCAAGGCCGCTCCTCGGTTCGTTCGATCCCGGTTTCCTGTTTTGTGTCGAGGACGAACTGCGAGAGACGGATATGGGTGTGGTGGCGAAACGATTCTTGGACGCTGTACCGTCTTTGAAGGAGGTCGCGATACGATGGAAGGGACGTCGTCAGTTGCCAATTGATGTGGTCGATATACGCCTACGGAGGCGGAAGGACCCAGTGGGTCAAGGGGAGATCGTGGAAAGCGAAATGAAGGTGCTGATCCATAAGGAGGATGGTCAAGGTATTGATGAAGAGGAGACGGACTGGGAGAGCGAGGAACATGAAGCAGATGATGACGACGACGAAGATTACGTGCCGGATGATGAAGATTATGACGGCGACTCGGATAGCACTAGCGGTTCAGAAGATGAAGAGGATAACGATGTGGTTCCTGGCGAGGACTGTCAAAGCTGGTCTGCGGGGTCGTGAATTCGCAGTGTATGTAACGGATCGTTCATTATCTTATCTTATCTACATAGTTAATCTACATCTTGTATCTAAATCTGGATCGTCATGGTGATCGGCGCTGATCCATCTGGATCCGCGCGACGTGGCGAAGGCTTCTCAGCCTTTCACCACGTCCACCATAGTATACGCCCTCTCAATCTAGAGATTGGTTCAGTGTACTTTGGACTTGTGTGAATCAGGCGACACCCGTATCATTACACTTTTTTACACTTCATACCACGAATACGTGGGTTTCTAGATTGTATTGTGTGTTAGGCACCTACCATGACGGAACCCTCGACATCACACGCGACACACCGTGAGACCGCGAGCTCGACTCGAGCTTCGCCTCTGAGGCGGTCTCCCCGAGACCCGGACGCTTCGTCAGGAAGCTCTATCCCCGGAGGTCCTAGCTCGTCTGGCAGACGTGCGGACTCACCC